GGCTCAACTCCTCACCAAAGATGAGATCAAACATTTAGACTTTTTAGTGAATAATACAATCCACTTAAAAACTTTGGCTACTCAGATAAGCATTAATGATTAATTACCCAGAATCATTATCTTATCCATCAAAGTCAATTTCTATAAATAAAAACAATGGATTAAACTGCATATCCCAAATTGTGGAACTGAAAAATGAACTCAGAAAATAAAGTTCTGAAAATTAATCAGCTTGGTTGAATTGGCTTTTTTCAGTTAATATTGATAGTGGGGCTGAAGAGATACAAATAGAAATAAGTGAGTGAGGCAACACTGATAAAACAACATGGATGTGGAAGAATGCCAGAATTCTGAAAATATCTCAGAAGATTTTATCCTAAATATAAAAACTATTGCACGAATTCCCTTCCCATGGTCAGAAGTGCAATAGCTGTTTCCCTTCATGAAACAACAAAACAAAATAAGGCAACCATTTAAAGAACATAAGGCTGAATCCTATGCTTCACATACAATGTGAAATGTAAATTCTGACACCAATTTCCTGGTATAGAAAAGAAGTCAGGTTTCCAGGTCCCAACTAAGAATTAATGAATAATGAAGGAAAATGAATAATTAATTATGTCAGCATTCCAGTTTGTATTTTTCAAATTTGGATTTAAAATATAATCTCTAATACATGCTTGCTTTGTCACACACATAACCAATACTTCAGTAAAAATAATTGGATTTTATTATATTCTGGCAGTTGATTCTTCTACCACCAATCTCTCTTCACTCTGCATTACCCATCTGGCTCCCATAGGCTTTGAATTTGCAGAGTCTATTTGAAACAAGCTAAGTCAGATTAAAACAGAGGCCAGGGGCACCAATCTATGAAAGCAATCACCAGAGAGAGCAAATCAGTAAAACACGAGCTCACTCTACTACAAAGCAGAAAGCACCCTTCAGTGTGAGCTTTTTAAAATATGCTTCTTTAAAGCAGTCTTCTCTGTTGAATGTTTTTGTGATGTGAAGTTCAAGCTAAAAAGTAGGTGTTCACTGATGAAATTCAGAAGCCATATAATGCAGTTTAAAATTGTTTACCAATGGTTTTGTGATTTTCCCTTAGTATCTAAATTTTAAATTCTTTATTATACAGCCTTCAAATAAATTATTTGGTTTGAGAAGTCACACAGTGTAATGAAAAGTTATACCTTATTATTTTTTTTTTACTTTGGTTATTCTTTTTCAGTATGTTAACTCAGTTTTAGCCAATGGAAGTAAAGTAGTAAGAAGATCAATTTTGACAAAAAAAATGAAATTAAGGGACATTTGTTCTCTTTTGGGCCCAGTTTTTGAGCAAAATATCTGTGTATTCATGAAGATGAAGGAAACTCAATGAAGAATAAGAAACCATATTAGAAAAGTGTCTGAAGCAAAAAAAAAAGGATGGTATTTTACCATTGTAGGTTAGAAATAACTCCTATCTACAGGCAGGGAAAATGAAATAAGGCTTCAAGATAACATAGCCTCTGTGAAAATCTAATTGAACTTACTGGCTTTTCTTTGAAATTTAAAGTTGCTTATTCCAAGTTACTGTTTTTCCATCATTAAAAAATGGCTGTAGAAACCATTATAGATTTAGTTTTAGAGTAGAGGATATTAATAAAAGACCAATACATACATTTATCTGTCCAGTATTTTTCCACTTATAAAGCACTGTCAAGACCATTGTTTACTTAAAAAATGTGTAATTCCCCCCACCAGTAGTGAAGGATATACTCAGCACCAAGGTTTGTTTTCTAAGTACCATTCTCAGCTAAAAGAAAGTGGGGCTCTTTGAGGAAATGGCTGATTCTATAGTTGGGGAAGGAAAGCACAGGAAGATACTGGAGCATCTTGTCATTCCAGAAAGTAAGGAAGAGCCTTGAAAAGCAAAAGGCTGATGGTATGTCATAGGGACATAGGAGCTAACCTGAATGAGCTCTCAAAGACCAAAACTGGGTCATTACTCAAAACAGTTTGGGCAACCAAATAAATAAAGTCACATTATATTATTACAAAAAGTATGCAACAAATTCATAGTGATATAAACATGATTGAATAGGTTAGATAGATTAGATAGATAGATAGGTATCTATGAAAAAGAGACAAGTTTCTGCCATCCCCCATCTCTTGCCATCCCCTCCCCATCCCTGAATTTGGGCTGAGCCTAGTAGCTTGGTTCCAAACAAAAGACTATGTAAAGGACAAATAGTAATTTTGCATTGAAGAAACCTCACAAATACTAACTTGCCCAAGTGATCAAAAGTTACACCACCAGCAATAAGTTGTGTTGGTATCATGTATCTGCTGATATGATGTGATGAGAACACTCTACTTCTGTTCTTCCTAAAAATCCATAACTCCAATCTAATCATAAGTAAAACTTGAGACCAACCCAGATGGGAAGACATTACAAAATATCTGATTATACGATTCAAAAAATTTGCAAGGTCATGAAAAATAACAAAAGACAAGAAACTGCCACAGAACAGACAAGACAAAGGAGAGAGACATTAACTGTGATATGGAATTTTGTGTCAGAGACCAAAGGAGAAAAGAATCTTAACGGAAACATATGTGAAAAGTGAGCAAGGCCTGGCATTAACTTAATAGTAATGTACCAATTTGTACTCTTTTTAAGTTTTGACAAATGTACCACCATGTCATCTGAGGCTATCAGTAGGGGAAATTGAAAATGAGTAAGGGGTATATATGAACTCTCTCTTTGCAATTTTCTATAAGTTTGGAATTATTCCAAAATAAAAATTTAAATACGCTATTTTAAATGGTTCACACACACAAAACACACACACACACGGTCAAAATTTTCTGTTCATTGTCAGTAAAAACAAGCATTTCTTTTATTCATTAACTTAAAATCAAAACTTTGTTCCTTATAAGTCAAGCAACTGCCTAAGAAATCATGGTACATGGCATGGATAGCTGATGTTTCAAAGTGAAACCATTTGTGCCACTAATAATGGTCATTTATATCAATGACTTAAACACAACAACAGTAATTTTATTTAATCTACTTAAATTTTTGTTTAATAGTTATAAGCAAATATGATACTGTGTTTGAACATCTTTTATAATGTCATAAATGTAAAAGGTTGTTCTTCTAATTGAAATTTATTCATCCATACAACAAAATTGATACTAGAAACAAGAAAACGGACAGTGATTTCAACTTTACCCCAACCCTTAGATATCAGTAAATATTTAAGTTCTATACTTATGAAAAATACTCTTTGCCAGTGTTATAAGGGGTACTAAAACATTCATAGAACATTGTATCAATTATAAAGTGCTTTCCAGCAGCTTATTGTAGTTGTAATTTCTAGTATTATACAATAACTAGTTCAACATAGTTACCACTTGTTGAATGTTTACATTTTTCTAGGCACTCAGCCAAGAGGTATACATCATTACATTTATGTATATATCAATATCAACATTCCTTTAAAGTAGACATTTGTATCTCTTTTGCCAGTGTGAAACTGAAGCTAAATACTTGACTGAAGTCAAACAACTTGTAAAAGCTACAGTCAAGCCAGGCATAGTGACTCATGACTATAATCCCAGCTACTTAGGAGGTGAGGCCAGCTCCAGGCAAAAGCAGAGATCCTATCTAGAAAGTGACTAAAGTCCAGTACTGAGAGAGAGAGAGAGAGAGAGACTCAAAAACTTATTAAATGCTCACTCTTCAAGAGACAACTGAAAGCAGTTGAAAAATCCATAGGATAAGGAGGCAAAGGACCTGAGTGCTACCTTGACAATCTTTATGTACATCTACTGTGGTCATTACCAGGGTGACTTTTTTTTTTTACTTTTTTTAAAAAGCATGCATTTTATTTATTTTTAAATATATCTGTCATAGCCATTGTCTGGAATATAGTTGGAGGTCAACAAAAACCCTAGTTAGAAAAAGAAACTATGTAGTTATGTTAAATGTTGTCATAGTAGAGAAGCAGAATACTCATAATCCACAAACTTCTGTTATCTTTCCCTCACAGGAAGGTCAAAGTTAGTGTATCATAAGTATCAAGAGGGTGGTGATGATGGTGACGGTAACTGCCTCCCATCTAAATCCATGTTAATCTCCCAGTTCCAGAATAATACTGTTTCAACTTCGATGGTACCGCCAATAAGGAGTGCCTCCTGTTTTACCACTCCCGAGTCAGGTTTCCCTTCCATTGGAACACAGAGCACTTTTCACTCTGTAATTCCCTGTTGAATTTCTGTCTCACTCCCTAGAATGAAACGTATGTTGAGTCTTGATTTCTTCCATGCTTCCAACACCTGGTACCATCCTTAACACAAAGTTATGTGATCAATATGTATTATCCAAGACCTTCCTGTAGCAAATTTTAGATTGCAAGACTTTAAGTAAAACAACTCTTAGTCTATTATAGAAGAGCATGATGGAGCTGTAGTTTTGTCTTCAGTTCATTTCCTACTCAGATCAAAAATTGTGGCTTCCCCTGGGACAGATGAGTCAGGATATTATCATATAGGTCAGACAGATGGGTTGTCTCATGACTGAGGTTTCATCAGGTGTAGAGATGGCCAGCTGGATGGTTCTAGTGGAGTCAGCAGGGGTAAGAGGAGAGCATTTCTGATTGAATGGGAAGTTCTCCCTTTCTGGGTATGTCAAACTACATCTTCAGATTATGTGAATCTCAATAAGACTTGAGTCTTGCCTGCTACACAGCGGCAGAGAATATTAAGTTGTGATTTCTTGGAAAGACAGAGGCTGCAGGATTCTGAAAACAGGATAGCTAAAGTCTGAAGAAGCTTTTCACCCCAGGATGTCAGAGCACTATCTAAATATTTCTCCTATCTATTGATATTTTTTTTTATCTTCTGGATTCTCTCACACTGGGTAACATACCATTTGATATTTTAAGAGAGATTTCCCTACTTCCCCCTTTCACTTCATTACACAACTGGCCATGCTCAGAGACACACCTTACTGAATTTGCTCGTGTGGGCACACGTTGTGGACATATACTGCTTTGGCTGTCTGGGTTGCTCTGGCCTTTCTCCTAAGAACTGCTCCTTCTCTGGCCACTGGAACAGGCCGCTATGCTGCTGTGGGCTTCCTTGCTGGTCCTGGGTAAGTGATGGAAAGGAGCCTGGCTCACACCTCACCATGAGCAAAAGGCCCTTCCTCTGCCTGCTGAAATAATGAATTTACTACCCTTTTAGAACAGCAGAAAAATGAACAAAGGGAAAGATATCGATTTAATGGTATAAGGAGAAATAATTGATTTCCTAAGGTATGTTCCTTTTGTTTTTAGCTGTTAATGAAAAATTCCTCTTACCTCAAAGTGATCTTAGTTTTCATCTGAAAGCAACATCAACAAAACTATTGCTAGATTCAATTACTTTTCTAAGGTAACTGAAAGCCCTGAGGAAAAGATAAACCAAGACCCTTGTGAAAGACCATATCTTAATTGTGAGCTAAGGTAGAAATGATCTTCTGCTAGACTAGTTATCTCCTACTCCTAAGATCAAATCTCTAATTTTGCAAAGAGCATGAGAAGAAATACAATTGTTTCCCTTTGCTTTCCCCCCCTGCTTCTGTATTATTTGTCAGCATTTTTCCAAATAAAGTACTGATATGGCAGAAAAAGTTGGGGGAATTAAAGTCAGCCTTTTGTATGTTAAATATTTAATAAGTGTATTTTTTTCTTGTTCCCATCTATTCCGTAGACTCTAAATAAGGAAAGAATTACTAGTGTGATTGTCACATCATGGAGACTGAGTAAATAGTGAATGGATGGATATACTAAGTATAAAACAATGCTGGGCACCACAGAGTATGATACAGAGAACTGGAGGGCAGTCATAGCTCTACCCTCCAGAGCTGACACTCTAGAACATCAAAGTACAAATGCAAAAACATTTGATCTGGCAATAGAAGCACAATACAAAGGCAAAAATCCCACTGAGCAACAGACACCTAAACAATGAAGGACAAGAAAATCTTTCTCGTGTTAAGAGGAGGACACTAATGGGAGGGGATGGCAAATGAAGAAAGTAAAGAAGGTGAATATGGTTGATGCACTTTCTACACAAGCATAAATATGGACCAGTAAAACTTGTTGAAATCACCATAAGGGGTCTAAGGTAGAAAGGAGAATAATAGAGAGGATGAACCAATTTGAGGTATAATGTACACATGCATGTGTATATATGTCACAATGAAACTCCCTGTGTAACCATCATAAACAAACAAAATTTCTTTTTATAAAAAAAGAAAGACTGGAAGGTAAAAGCAAGTCATGTCTGTGGGTTGGTATCAGTGACAGCAGGGAGAATATAAGGAAAGGGCATATATGGGGAAGTATTGTACATTTGTGTATGAAAATGGAAGAATGAGACCTACTGAAACTGTTCTAAGAAGATGGGGTAGGTGATAAAGAATTAAAAATAGAGAAATATTATGCATAGAATAATGGTTGATGACAATAATTAATTCTTGCTGAACCCTGAGTATGTCTATGACATTATTCTAAGAATACCCCATTTATTAACTTATTCAACACTCTAACAATCAACATATGCAACTATTATGACTCTCATTTACAAATGCAGAAATGAAGGCACAGAGACTTCAATATTGTGACTAAGATTCATGCAGCTAGTACAGTGGCCGCTTCAGGATTCAAACCCATAATCTGACTTTGGAAGCTATGCTTTTAGCCACTACCCCATACTGTATGTCCAATTATGAGTGCCAAATGAGTTACAGCAGTCAGTGTTCTGAGCTAAGATAAGAAGGAGGTTGCTTTAGCCTAGAAGTATCTGAAATGGCTTCTCTTGGGTCTTCATGCATGAGTGTGACTTGTTTTTGTTTAGTACTAAAGGAGGAGAAGGATTCTATTAAGTATTGATTTTGATAAGGCAGGAAGATGGTGGCATAAAGTGTCAGCACATACTCATATTTTTTAAATTAACAGTAGCTATTAATTGAGGAATTGATAATTTAGCTCATTACAATTATATTATGAAGTTACTTTTATGGTCCTCATTTTTTAAATGAGGACACTGGGACTTTTGTCCAGGGTCACAAAGCTATAATTCAAATGAGGATTTCTTAGATCACAGCCTAACCTTTCGACCACTGTGTTGCTTAATTTTTCTGGCTGGGTATAACTGAATATGTTTCTCTTCCTCTTGATTGGAAGTAGAATGTGGGCATACAGTCTATCAAGAGAGGTGGTTGGAAATTCCTTACTTGTGCTAATGCCTGGCTCTTGACTCTTTTGCAGCTCCACTGAGCAGACAATTTGGTAAGTCCACCTTTTATTTTCACTCTTCTGTCTCTAGATAGCCTAATAACTAGACTCTATCACAAATACTCATAAGAAGAGGCTTTTTGTCTCCTTCCTAATTTCTCTAAAGATTACAGGGCAAAAATATGTTCTGGTAACTCTGGCTCTATGCATTAGGGTATTTGGGAATCATTGGATCAGACCAAATCTGCCATGGAGGGCTGGGATACATGTCATGGAATTCACAAGAAGAGGAGGTACCACCCTACCTGATGCAGGATTCTATCCAAACTTGATGGAATGTATAGAATCCTAGAGGGAAAACAGAAATAAGCCATTACTTCAAAGCAAGAGCCTGGAACTCCAACAACTTTGCCCCTAGCTGTGTATAATCAATTTATCTTAAACTTCATCACTCTCTGTAGATAATTTTTTAAATTAATAGTTCAAATAATGATGAGCCTGAGCCCCATCCATTCTACTTGTCAGTAGAAGTTCCAGTCTTCTATTAGGAACCGTCTCAGGTGTTTGGCAACCTTTGTGGAATTCCTTCAGGTCCACTGAGCACATCCTGGATGCTGCTGACTGTCACTCTGCTCAAGTCAGCAGGAGCTGTGACCCACTGGATGAATGATGTTTTCTGCAGTTCCTGGGTCTGTTAGTTTCCCCCTTGGTGGTATATACTCAGACCATTTCCCACACATCCCTGCTTACTTGAACAAGATTAAAATTTTGTAAGACTTTGCTAATGTTCCTAGGATGAGGAAGTGAAACAGAGCTTCTGACATTAGCTACTACATGTGGTTAATCTCAGATCTCACTGACTCAGTACCAAATTTATGAAGGTCCTGATGAGCCACCTGCACATAGAAGACAGCTTGCTCAGATCATAAAGGGGAATCTAGCTATATCCACTAAAGAAAGTATTTCCTCTTCTCATCCAGAAGATGACTTGCTTCCCAGATTCACATTTCCCCATCCCAGGTGCTTCCCAGGGAGCTGGTGAGGATACCTATTCGCTTCAGGAGAAACACAACCTCATTCTCACTGGGGACACAGGACAGTCTGTCCAAACTTTTAAGAGACTTTTTAAAAATTTTGCAGAAACTCACAAATGTTTTACATTACTAAACAGAAAAATCTAGCTTCTTTATCTAAAGCACACATTCAGATTTCTCTACAGTTTCTGCACCCAAATGGAGAAGAGGTATTTCTTTTATATTTGGATATAACCAAAAGACCTATTTAGGCAGTTGTTCTAGAAAAAGATAAGAATATTTAAAGTCTCAAGCTTCAGAAAAAGCAATTGCTTATAGGCTCTTAAATGTAGATAGTTTTCCTTATCTGAGTAAAAAAGGTACTAGGAGGAAAATATATGCAAAGTGATTCCACTTAAAATTTTATAGTAAATTATATACCCTGAAATTGAGATTTTTATTTCTGAAAACTAAAACAATACAAATGGAAACAATTTGTTTTAGCTTCTACTTCACAGAAGTCAGATTACCATAGGCAATTTGTACAGCAAAGCATGAATCTAATATTGATCTTTTTTTTTTTTAATGTCGTAGCTGCCACAGCTTCAGACATCAAGACTGTGTTCAAGGCAGGAAGGGGAGGGGCTCAAATGGAGTGGAGCAGGGAACTGAAGCTGTAGAAGAACTCCTTTGTGCTCCTTTCAACATAAAGGAAAAACTTTTCCCCAGAGCCCCTATTCTCTGGTGCACCTCTAGTTTTATTCTGTTACTGAAGTCCTGGGCCAGGGCCCTGATTCTGGGGATCTCAGAAGATCAGATTTGGTTTCTCAGAATGATTCCAAAAAGCAGAGAGAGCTGATGGAGTGGCTAAAGTGGTAGAGCACCTGCCTAACAAGCGTGAGGCCCTGAGTTCAAATCCCAGTACCACTGAAATAAACAAAAAAACCAAAAACAGAGAGATGGTCAGTGGTAAAGTAGGAAACAAGTTTATTTAGTGTGGCCACATTGGGCGGACAACAGGTCTACCAACCTCCTAAGAACTGCCTTTGGGTACTTGTGATAGCTCCAGGATTACATAGGAGAAGAAAAAAGAAGGTCAGGGAAAGAGGTATGCATAGTTAAATTTCAGTGATGCTGTGGTCTGGTCTGGTTGGTTATCTCATAGATCTATTCAGTCATGGGGTATTTTGTCTTCGAAGATTACCATTCCTAGAATCTGAGATAATCTGGGGACTCAGAAAAAGAACATGTTAGAGAGATAAAATAGAGTTAATTGGGAATAATTACTGGGTGCTGTTTCAGGTTTAGGGCAATGACTTGAGATTGCTAGGCACCACTCTAGTGGTCTGAAACTAGACATAGTAAAATATGACAGTTGATAATCTTTTGATTATGGGGTGCTTCTTATATATTTTATTCTTTTTATTTCTTTTTTCTTTTCTTCCTTTCCTTCCTTCCTTCCTTCTCCTCGCCTCCCCTTTCTTCCCTTTCCTTTTCCTTTCCCTTCCCCTTCCCTTCTTCCCTCCCTTACTCCCTTCCTTCCTTCCTTCCTTCCTTCCCTCCTTCTTTCATCTTTTTCCGTTTTGACAGGGTCTCACTATATAGCCCAATTTGGCCTCAAACTTGCTATACTCCTGCCTCAGCCTCCCAGTACTTGACCTGCACCACCATGCCCAGCCTGAAGTCTTAGAAAATACCTTAGATACTCTTGGTGCTTCAGCCTCGAAAGTGGAGGAGATAGATTAGGTAAATTTAGGTCTTGCATTACTAGGTTTAGACAGATACTCCTTAAATAATTAACATGCCTGTTTACAAATTTGAGCAGGAATCTGACCCAATGTTTAAAGTATCAAAGAAGACAGATGCAATATGAAGGCAGATGTGCCAAACTTTTGTCCTGTTTTTAGTTACCCTGCAGATATCTACAGGCCCAAGTGAAGAGTTAGTGCATTTAGCAAAAGCAGCCTTTAAGTCCCTTTTACGATTCCTCTGACATCTTGTACCCAGACCTAGATTGTGTGCTGGAAAGGTCAGTTCCTCACTTTTTCAAACTCATTGGTGGGCAACAGTCTTCAGCAAAGTGCACTGGAACTAACTTTCAAGAGCCTTGTTTTCCTTATTATTGATTTCTCCTTTTTACTTGTTAACAGATTTCTCTCTACCACACTCCTCAGTGGTATTGTGAACCATCAGAGAGGTGGTTCCACATAACTTTAACCAACTTCATGAAAGACTGCATCTTAGGAAGAATTTGAAGTAGCAATTAATTTTCATTTGTTTGCCCATCGAAAGATCAGCCTACTCCAATGCTGATCTGCAAATAGGGCAGATAGTTGCATTATATCAGGAAGATGTTTATCATGGTGAATAATTTGTGATGTGATTACTCCTATTGTGAGCCCTCACAACCCAATAACTAAAACTCAGAAAATAAACCCCCAGATTAAAAAAGAATCCCAGTAACAATTTCCTGTTGGGGAAATATAATTAAAAACAAAATCTCCTCCAATCCAGAAATCCTCTTCACAAAGGTTGTAGAGAAGGAAAAACCTTTAATTATTATAAGTAAGAAGAAGCATTAACTCAAAATGCATCATGCATCACAAACAATCCACTGAGAGAGTGAAAAGGCAGAAAGGAATCCCATTCCTTTACTCACCCAAGCAGATCCAACCTATACATAGCATGTTTTCAAGAAAAGCAATAACTAGTTCTCAGTAAATGGACCTGACAACAACTTTCGTCACACATAGTTCATCTCAATTTTGTCATAGTCATTGAGGAGACCAGCTATGTTAGCTAATTGGTTTCTACTTGGAGAAGAGAGAAACTTCTCACATTTTCATGAGGACTGCTCACTTTGTATAGAGCAAGATGAGCCCACCAAAGTTACCCTCCCACAGGAAGTGGAATACAGAGGACCTGTATCCCTAGATGGCATCCCAAACCAAAAGTTTGCTCTTAGGACTTTACTGAGTACTGAGAGTAGCAGAGACTTATTTGTATAATAAAGATTTACAAACATTTGAAAAGGACAGAGAAAAAAATTTCTAAAGAAAAGGGGGAAAGGATAGAAGTCTCTTCCCTTATTTTCAACAGAGAAAATTTGACATCTCTTGTACTTATTTTTAATTAGCATATAATAGTTATACAGGGGATACATTGTGACATTTACATATGTGCTCACAATATGTCTTAATTATATTCACCTTTCAATCATTATCCCTTACTCCCCTCCCCCTTCTTAGAAAAATTTCAGCAAGTTTCTTTTTTTTTTTTTCATTTTTCTTTTATTATTCATATGTGCATACAAGGCTTGGGTCATTTCTCCCCCTGCCCCCACCCCCTCCCTTACCACCCACTCTGCCCCCTCCCTCTCCCCCCACCTTAATACCCAGCAGGAACTATTTTGCCCTTATTTCTAATTTTGTTGTAGAGAGAGTATAAGCAATAATAGGAAGGAACAAGGGGTTTTGCTGGTTGAGATAAGGATAGCTATACAGGGCATTGACTCACATTGATTTCCTGTGTGTGGGTGTTACCTTCTAGGTTAATTCTTTTTGATCTAACCTTTTCTCTAGTTCCTGTTCTCCTTTTCCTATTGGCCTCTGTTGCTTTAAGGTATCTGCTTTAGTTTCTCTGCGTTAAGGGCAACAAATGCTAGCTAGTTTTTTAGGTGTCTTACCTATCCTCACCCCTTCCTTGTGTGCTCTCGCTTTTATCATGTGCTCATAGTCCAATCCCCTTGTTGTGTTTGCCCTTGATCTAATGTCCACATATGAGGGAGAACATACGAATTTTGGTCTTTTGGGCCAGGCTAACCTCACTCAGAATGATGTTCTCCAATTCCATCCATTTACCAGCGAATGATAACATTTCATTCTTCTTCATGGCTGCATAGAATTCCATTGTGTATAGATATCACATCTTCTTAATCCATTCATCAGTGGTGTGGCATCTTGGCTGTTTCCATAACTTGGCTATTGTGAATAGTGCCGCAATAAACATGGGTGTGCAGGTGCCTCTGGAGTAACCTGTGTCACGGTCTTTTGGGTATATCCCCAAGAGTGGTATTACTAGATCAAATGGTAGATCCATGTCTAGCTTTTTAAGTAGCCTCCAAATTTTTTTCCAGAGTGGTTGTACTAGTCTACATCCCCACCAACAGTGTAAGAGGGTTCCTTTTTCCCCGCATCCTCGCCAACACCTGTTGTTGGTGGTGTTGCTGATGATGGCTATTCTAACAGGGGTGAGGTGGAATCTTAGCGTGGTTTTAATTTGCATTTCCTTTATTGCTAGAGATGGTGAGCATTTTTTCATGTGTTTTCTGGCCATTTGAATTTCAATATTATATTTTTATACATGAATACAAAATATGTCTACCATATTTGCCCCCCTTTACCCTTTCCTTATGCCCTCCTCCTCCAACTGGTACACACCCTTGAAAATGATGTATTTTGCTTTTATGTGTGTATTGATAAAATCAAGGGGATTATATATATATATACACACATGCACACATATGGAGAGAGAGAGACAACACAATTTTATTAGTGGGTTTGTCTATGGGGACTGAGGGAGGCAGAAGAGGGACAGAGAATGTTAGAGAGTGAAAAATACTGAAACATTTCATCTATGTATGAAGGTAATATAATGTAATGCAGTGTGAATTGTTGAATAATAGGGGAGCAGGGCAATAGAGAAAGAGTAAGTAATGTGGGTATCTGATTAAAGCACAATAAACACGTTTGAAATACAAAGGCTAAACCCACTTAAGCCTCTTTTTAATTTGTATTTACCCTTAAATTCACTAGCTTCTGCACATCTATGTTAAAAATAATCTCAGGGTCCAAATTTGTGCAAAGTCAATGTTTCCTTATCATGAGAGTATCTTTGATGTTTGTGGACCTAAGAGCACTTACCTCCCTGCCCTATTGCTCTTTGTAGCTTCCTAGTCATATTTCTTACTTCAAACAATAGTCTGCTCGCCTTTCCCATACCTACTTCTCATTAGTACGAGGAAAAATACAGCTTGGAACTTTTTCCATAACTGAATAATTAATCCTCAAATTTCTATATCCCCACCATTTACAAGCACCATCCCACCATATGCCTGTGCCACATGTACAGGAGTTTATATTTTTCCTCCATTCATCTGAGACTTATTGTCTGGGGCTGATGAATAAAATTGATAAGTGACATATTAATAATAGAAAAGTTTTAATTATATATGTACACATGAAACACACATCGAAAACTGTGTCTTAAAGAGGAAGCCAGGTGATGAAGCTAATATACTATGTAAGGCTAATCAAAAGTTGGGCGGGGGGTGGTTCTTGGAAGGGGAAACAATTTATGGGAAGGTGACTAGGAAAAAGTATGGTAAACAAGGGTTGTTTAATAAAGTTTATTATGAAGATTTAAGTCAATGCCTTCTCCATTGAGATGGTCCAGGAAAGTAAGACACTTCACCAAAGGACATTTTCTTTTTCCTTTTCATTTTTTTTTGGTGATATTGAGGTTTGAACTCAGAGGCTCTCACCCTTTTGGCAGGCATTCTATCACTTGAGCCATGTGCCCAACTTTAAGAAATTTCCTTTACAAAAGGAAAACCTAGCCTTATTTTTAGAGCTTTCCTTATTGTTCTCAATGATTTATAGCTCAAAAAAATCCACATACCAAAGAAGCATATTTTGGGATGACATATTCTGGTAGCCTTCACACACTCACACACACACACACACACACACACACACACACATTCATCTTATCTTAGAGCCATAACTCCTGCCTTGTAACATGAAGATCCCTGGGGAAATCAAAGAGAGATGTAATTCTCAATTATGTGACTGAGGACCTGACCTGTCCTACTGGGAAAGGTTAAGAGGGCTATGAGTCTTATGTTATTGATCAGTGTGAATGGGTCTTGCTAGGATTGCCTTTGGAATGGCCAATCTGATCCTGTAGATCCCTAAGCACCCACTGCACCTAGTGGTCCTACCACTTGGGGAGGCAGTGACCCTTCCTATGACCTCAGGGATTCCCCATTGTCTATCCTCCAGGAATCCCTGCAACTGGGACTGTGAGCATCTCAGCCTCAGATTCATTTCTCTCTCTCCTCAGCAACTGCACCCAAACCTGTGATTTCCCTTCATCCTCCATGGACAACGGTTTTCAAAGGAGAGACAGTAAACCTGACTTGCAATGGATTTCATTTCTATGCACCAGAGAAAATAAAATGGTACTTTGGAAACTACAGGAAAAAGCAAGAAACCAAAGGAAACACCCTGGAGGTCCATGAATCTGGAGAGTTCAGGTGCCAGGCCCAGGGTTCACCTCTAAGTAATTCTGTGCGTTTGACCTTCTCTACAGGTGAGAAAGAAGAATAATTAGTTAAAACTCTAGAAATGGCTTTGGGGTTATCTTAGCTCCTTGAAGGTTCTAAAAACTGGAATCCTTCATTCCTCATTAACATTTGACCTCAGTTACTTTCAGTTTCACTCATCTTCATTGTCTACAAGTATTTTTCACTTGAAATTTGAATTTAAATGTTTAATATTAATCCACATTCTTGCATATTTACATAGTCAAGAAAGTGAGTTAGTTTTAAGTGGTACAAAAAGGAAGCTATCTGACATCTTGTCCTACAGGATTTTATAGCCTCATGAGGGAGAAAATATACACACATAAATGGACAGAGCACAAAGCAGAAAGTGAAAAGTGCAAAAAGGAGGTCAGAAATCTCCAACCTCAGGCCTTTCATCCCCATCTGGTCTGGTATTTGTCCTTTCTTCATTTCTACTTTCCTCCATGACTTGCATGTAACTTACATATCTCTATCTGTGCAGTTTTACCTACTGTAGACATAATGGGTTGAATCACCTCCATGGGCATAGTTTTGGAGGAGGAGGCATCCATCTAGTCATTTTAAAAAAAGATAGAACTAACTTCAAAGTACAATCTGAACAGCATGAGCATTTCCTTAGAGGACTACATTTGCTATCCTTTGAAGCTAGATTTGTGTCTCTGACAATACTCCTGCTACATGGCATACTCCTATGTCTCCTATGTATGTATGTATTCCTTGTATATTTCACCAAATGCTACTTCTTTTGACAGCTCTTGCTCTAAGATTTGGTAAGCATGTTGGTGTTGATTTTTGCCATGTTCTATGATGTCAGAGATTTCAAACACACCTTCTTTGGCTTTTCTTATCCATATTAGATTCCTTATAGTTTGAATCTGTCCTTGAATGATTAAATAAAAGTGTTTGGAATTTACCAAGGAATTATATCTGAAATGTGACACACTGGTTTGGAAAGACATGAATGTACTTGGTTTAGTAGACTAAATCCTGTGGACAAAGAAAAGGCAATAAAGACCTTTTAATTCAAGACACTCAGAGGAAGGAAGCTGCCCCCTGAATGATATCTCTGTGTTGTTTCCAGGCTTCTTAATCCTGCAGGCCCCTCATTCTGTGTTTGAAGGAGACACGTTGGTTCTGAGATGCCAGAGAAGAGGAAAAGAGAAGTTAATTGCTGTGAAATATATTTGGAATGGAAAAATACTCTATAATTCCAGCAAAAGACTGGATTTTTTTATCCCGAGAGCAAGTTTAAATAACAGTGGCAATTATCAGTGCATTGGATCTTGTGACAAAATTCATGTATCTAAATCAAATTCCAAAGTTATTAAAATTCAAGGTAAACCTTCCTTTCATATAGATTCATTTAATAATGTCAAGGAGTGGGGAATTGGGCATACCACAAAGAAATTTATATTAATATTGAAGCTCTGGATACATGAGAGGTGAAGCCCTCTGGGAGGCAGAGAAAGTGAAGCAGTTGGACTTGAAATGACTTAGGGAAGGAAAACATGATGGAAAGCTTGATAAGTTTATCTCCCTGTGTGTCTGAAGTTTCTTAGAACTGAGAATCCAAGCCTGTTTCTTTCAGAGTGCTAAATACTCTCATGCTGTAAATTTGATCTATATTTTCTGTCTTAGAACTATTTCCATATCCAAAGTTGAAAGTCACAACCTCTCAACCTACAGAGGGGAACTCTGTAAACCTGAGCTGTGAAACACATCTTCATCCAGAGCGATTGGACACTCCTCTTCATTTCATCTTCTTCAGAGACAGTAGAGTAATCCTGTCAGGTTGGAACAACTCCTCAGAGCTCCAGATCCCAATCATCTGGAGAGAAGACTCGGGATTGTATGGGTGTGGTGTTGAAACAGTGACACACAGCATCCGCAAACACAGCCCCCTGTTGCAGATCAGCGTGCAGAGTGAGTGTTACAGGGCCAGGTAGCCTGGATAGCACTATGGCATCTTCCTTGCCTCTTTCTGCTACTTTTGGCCCTGTGGGTATAGGAACTGTCCAGCAGAAATGGGTTTTGTCATCCTAATTAGAGGCACAGGCTTACATTGAGTAGTGAGATATTATAGTAAAAGAAATATAGGATTTTTATTTTCACCTCTGTTTCTTAAAATGTCAGTCTTCCTTTCAAACTTTGTCAAGTTGGAGTGATACAGCTGATTAATGGAGTGAAATACAAGAGCTGGGGGAACAGAGTAAGAAAACAAGGTACTCCCACTACTGAGTTAGTAGATTCTGGAATGCCAGAAGTTGGGGCAAACTAAGGATTTCTTCCGAATCATTAGCAACAAACAGCATGACTGCTGTGATGTATATAGCAAGAGAGAAGAAGGTATATACATATAAAGACAAGCACAATAAATACCAGTTTGTTTTAGGTACCAAAACAGTGCTTTTAGAGGCAGTTGCAATCCAGCTTCATGCTATAAAGCCACAATTGCTATTACCTATCTCTAAAACAATTCAGACTACCAAATAGTTCAGATAAAACCTAAATGCTTCTCTAGGTATATCTCTCTCTTCTGGGGCTTTGTGTAAGTTTGGAAAGTTTAGCACATTTAGGGATATTCCACGTTCAAAATCCATAGTCATAATACTAGTATTTGCTGAGGAGTATATCTTAAAGTCACATGGACAGTGACCCTACCCAACATCCCAGCCTGGCCTTCCCCAATCCGGGCCTTTACCCATGTCTCTTGCTTATGCAGGAATCCCTGTATCTCAGGTCTCCATGGAGACCAACCCCCCAGGGGGCCACGCAGTTGAAGGGGAGATTCTGGTCCTTGTCTGCTTCATGGTTGAAGGCACAGGGATCACCACATTCTCATGGCACAGAGAGGACACAAAAGAGAGTCTGGGAAGGAAAATTCAGCGTTCTCAGAGAGCTGAGCTACAGATTTCTGTCATCAAGAAGAGTGATGCTGGGCAGTACTACTGTACAGCTGACAACAGCTATGGCCCCATCCGGAGTGCGGTGGTGAATGTTATTGTAAAAGGTAAGTTTAATCGCCATTGTTTTTATTTTTTGTTATTGTTTTCTGTTATTGTACTTTCTCAAATTAAGAGTGGGCATAGTCAGCATTAACTTTGTGACTCTCCTGTATCTGTTTCCACTTTGCCATATTCCTCTGTGATAGACAGTTTCTTCCATTCAGATATTAATAACTCAGGTCAGAAAAAAATATTAACAATGAGGTAATGCTAGCCAACAGCCATTTTTTATTTGTGTGTTAAACTTAAAGAGCAACCTTACCTCATTACCAGCATTTTAGGGGGGGACACAGTTTTGTCACCTAAGTGTGAACTGTACCTGTCCTTTCGTAAAATAAATCATCCAGAGGACATCAGACCAGTGTCCTCAATGTGGACAGAATCAAAGGTATAAGGCAATACTTTATTGGCTCATTACTGTAGGCATGAGGGACACTCAGCTACTAAATTATATGCAGGTCAGGAAACTCACAGAGAGCAGATACAGAGCCCAGCTTAATTCATTTAGGAGACAAGTCTTCCTTTGGGGTCCTATGGCTCTAGTTCATAGCTTTCATTTGTTCTGGCCCCAACAAGCCAGACTGGGCCAAGCCAGTTTCTCAGTGAACAATCTTGGCATTCTAGAAATGACTTCTACTGGGCTTCAGTTTCGTCCTCCATCTCAGGTTCAGTAGAACCTCTCACTCTCCAATAAAGCTCTTTTATTGAGAAGCAATTAGAAAGCTACATTTCCTTGCTTTCCTGTATAGTAAAACTCAAAAGACTGCTCTCCACTAACTCTCTTCACTTCTCCCATTTTCTCTGAAATCCACTGTCAGACTTGCTTTGCTCCACCAAAGTTATTCTTGAGAAGATCATTCTTGCTAAGGTTGTGGGCAATACCCAGTTTCTGTTTGACTTAGCCTACCTCCACCTTTTGTCATAGTTTTTCTCTTTGTCCTGGAAACACTGTCCTCCATGGCATCTCTGGGACACAAATACTCTACCTATTCATCAGACACTCCTTTTAGGTTTATTTTCTGGATCCTCAAAATATTCCAATCTCTAAGTTTTTGGGACTTCCAAGTCTCTATCTTAGACTCTATCTGTGCCTTGTGTCCATATCATCTCACTCAATTTCATGATTTTAAATGCACTTGTAGCTTCTATATACATATGTCTCCCAAACTCAACCTACAGCCTCGACCTCTAGTCTGAACTCAAAATTCATATACCCACATTCTTAAACAAAACACTCGGAATAGCTAATTTACATTTCAAACTTAATTCATCTGAAACCCAAACTTATGTTTTACCATGAGGCTTAGAGCCTTGAGTTGGTAAATGTAAATCACCCTTTCCTAATAGCTCAAGTCAAAATGCTGGGCATCACTCTTTTTTTTTCTTTTTTTTTATATGTGCATACAAGGCTTGGGTCATTTCTCCCCCCTGCCCCTATCCCCTCCCTTACCACCCACTCCGCCCCCTCCCTCTCCTCCCCACCCCCTCAATACTCAGCAGAAACTATTTTGCCCTTATTTCTAATTTTGTTGTAGAGAGAGTATAAGCAATAATAGGAAGGAACAAGGGTTTTTGCTGGTTGAGATAAGGATAGCTATACAGGGCATTGACTCACATTGATTTCCTGTGCATGTGTGTTACCTTCTAGGTTAATTCTTTTTGATCTAACCTTTTCTCTAGTTCCTGGTTCCCTTCTCCTATTGGCCTCAGTTGCTTTTAAGGTATCTGCTTTAGTTTCTCTGCATTAAGGGCAACAAATGCTAGCTACTTTTTTAGGTGTCTTACCTATCTTCACCCCTCCCTTGTGTGCTCTCGTTTTTATCATGTACTCAAAGTCCAATCCCATTGTTGTGTTTGCCCTTGATCTAATGTCCACATATGAGGGAGAACATACGATTTTTGGTCTTTTGGGCCAGGCTAACTTCACCTTGACTCCTCTTATTTATTTTTGTATCTCCATGTACAATTCCCCCTGCAAGTTCTGAAGGCTTTACTGTCAAAATATAGCCAAAATCTTACCACTTTTCACTCTGTCTATTACCACCACCAGGCCAGGCCCCCAGCATTCCTTATCTGGATTGTTGCATTCACATCCTAACCTGCCTTCTGCTTTTCTGTTGCTCCTCACTCTATTGCCTGTACAGCATCAGAGGGACCTCTTAAAATCATGTTGTTATTCTTCTGCCTGATATCTACCCCTGACTTTCCATTCCCTTTAGAATGATAGCCAACAATCTCTCAGTGACTTACCAGGCCCTGCATGATCTAGCTTTTTGTCACTTTGCACCCCTATCCTACCACTTTCCCCCCATCTTCTCCACGACAGTCACTTTGTCTCTTCCTCAGACTTTCCAGATACAATCACACCTCAGACCCTTTGCATTGCACTTCCTTAATAGCCCCAAGCTCTCCCCCTCACTTCCTCATTACTCACCTTTTCAGGGAGTCCTTCCCCAACCATCCTTTGTAGCATAGTATCCCTTTACCCCAGTTCTTCCTCTTCCAATCCTGCTTTATTCTCTCTCCACAGCACTGATCACCAACTATGCTAAGGACCTGCATTTGTTTGCTGCCTCTCCCATTCCTCCCACAGTAGTCTCACGAGGTGGATCCTTATATTGACCACTGTTGTATCCCAAGTGCCTGGAAAAGTACTTGGCTCAACTCATGTATCCAATAAACAGTTGTTGAATGTATGAATTTTGCATACATAGATTCTATTCATTGCAGTAACAATTCTAGAAAATAAAAATATTATAATCTCCATTCTACAGAAACACAAAGTTCAGGGAGTTCTGGTTATTTGCATATAGTCACAGAGTTTTTACATGGTGATCCAGATTTGAACCTTGATGAATGTTTCATCTCAGAGAAACTGATGGCAATATGGAAGTTCTCAAAAAAAAAAAACTGCCATATTGTTAAGTGCCTTCTGTCAACCATGCTAAGTAAGCAGGGAGCTGTGCTATTTATATAAGTAGTCAGCTCTGACAGTCAGAGCCATAAACCTGAACAGTTTAGTTAGAGGCTTTGGGAAGGGGTGGCTATGCTAATGGCCCAGCTGCTGCTCAATTTTCCCTTCAACTCTCTTGGGGCAAGTCCTATGATCAAGTCGGGGCCCTCCCAGGTCAGGTGACTGAGATGTTTTCCCAGAACCATGCCACAGAAAAGTCCTCATCTCAGCCTAGGGATGGCTTGGAGAACAGAGAGACATTGGGTGTAATTCTCAGGTGGCAGACTGAAAACTGAGAGAAGCTGCTTCAAAAGAATTTCAAAAACCAGTGTGGGGGAAGAGAAAAAGGGGCTCAAAAAGCTACAGCCTGCCAAGGGCACCCTCTGAAGTCTCATGAATGCAGTGTCCTGAAATGCAGAGTGACTATGAAGGTAGGGTTGTTGCTTCTCTAGAATGGCAAGTGTGCCTCAGGCAGCCCAGAGGTTATAATCCCTGAGGAATGTACCAGAGAATATATTGGTAATACATATTTATATATAAATTCCTCATCCTGCTTTAGGGGAAAAAGGTCATGGAATGGGTTTCTCTCTTCCAATCTAGTCAGTGAGCTGGCCACATCACACATTAAATTGCATTTTACTCTCACAGTGGTCCTGTGGAGCAAGTGTCATGGTCTGTTAGAGAAACAGATGACCTCAGAGATTTAGACTGATGTCCAGGATTCAGTTGATATTTGATGGAGTGAGATTTACTTCTAAATATTTGATTTCCATGGGCTTTATGCAGAATCTCCATGACTAGAAATGGGAGAGTTTTTAGCAGGAGAGAAATTTTGCAGTACAGGTAGCATTGGGCTAAGCAGGCTGTCTTTATTAGCATATGGAACAAATTCTATAGACTGGGTGGACTAAAGGACAGAAATTAATTTTCTCACAGATTTTGAGGATAGAAGTTTGGGATTAGGGCACAAGCATGGTTGGGTTCTTACAAGGGGCTTTTTTTTTTTCCTGGTTTGAAGAGGGCTACCTTCTTGTTGCATCCTCACATGGGAGAGAAAAAGGACAAGGGCAAACTTTCTAGTATCTCTTCTTAGAAGGGTATTAATCCCACTATGAGGACCTCCACTCCCATGACTTCATCTGAATCTAATTAACCCCCAAAGGTCCATCTCCAAATACCATCAAATTGGGTTAGAGCTTCAGTGTATGAATTCTGGGGAAATACAATTCAGCCCATTGCATGGGCTGAGGTTGGCTGGTATTGGTGCTGTGTGGGAGCAGGTTTAACTGTGGAGGTGTCCCCTAAGCTGATCACAGGACAACATGAAGCTCCCATGAACCTAGAGTATAGTGCATAAAAGAGCTAATACATACACATAACACTCATATGCTGGGCATTGTTTAAAGAGCTTAACATATAATGACTCACTTAATCCAACAATAGTAAATGGCTATTATTATCCTTATTTTCCAGGTGGGAAAGCTGAAATATAGGAAGATTAAATATTCTCCCTGGCCACATAGCTATTAAGCAAAAGACCTAGAGTCCTAACCCAATCATCTGGTTTTAGAATTCTGTGATTTTCCAAGATAAATTTCAATTACTTCCCCCCTCCCAAAGTTAGCCATTTCTTCTAAGAAATAGGATTACCAGGAAAAAGGAATACTTGTTTTCCACCCATTGAATCTGGAGTTCCAGGCCTGGATATGGCTGATTCTAATTTTGCACAGGTAGGTGCCTGAGCAGACAATGAGGAAAGATTCAATACAGGATATAATGGCCCAGTCATTCTGCCCCTGGATTTCTCCTAATTTACACCCTTCTGGTTGAGCTGTCATGCTGGGAAGGCAGGGCTGAGTGTCCCCTTAACATTGCTTGTAGGTGGAACCACTCATAGGTCAAATGACTTACTGGTTTTGTCAAAAAGAGAATGATAGAGACAAAAATGTCACCTGCTGGCCAGTGGCCACTCTATCCCAGGGATCATAAAACAAATAAATGGAAAATAACATTAGTGCTGATATTGCTCTGAAATCTGGATGTCTTCTGTCAAATTCGTGGGTACTTGTGTCTGAAGTCTGAATTGGATTTACCTATTGACCAAGAATCTGTATGAAAAACATCACCACCACCCCATTCTTTGTCCCTTGACCCTGCTTTTGCCTTTTATCCCTTATCATCAAGGGATAGGTTATCATTTCATTTGCTTTTTGTCTGACATGTTCCCTTAGATCACAAGCCCGGTGAGGTCAGGGCTTTGCTGCTCTGTTCAATGTTGCATCCACAGGGTTATATCAACGACTGGAGCATGCTGTGTGTCCATAAGTGTTTGTTAGATGAATGGAAAAGTGAGTGAAATCTCTCTGGCTGTGGATGACAAGATAGGAGAATGGACTCCATTGAAAAATCTGAAACACCCAACAATTTACTTTATTGTATGCATTTTTCCACCATTTTTTTCTTTTCTTTTGTTCAGAGCACATAAGGTACAGGTTTTTCTCAGGAAGGGGACTGTTGCTTTCCATTGTGGTGTCACAATGTATTTTTTCAATGGAAAGCAATATCAAAGTTACTGGTGTTCTGTTGGTTCCCTAATCATTTAATATCTTTCTATGTGTCTGGGAAAGATTCTGTGGAAACCAGAATATAAGAATATCAGACACACACACACACACACACACACACACACACACACACACACACACAGAATTGATAATTTCTGAAACGAAATTACAGAGCACTATTTCCTATGTCACTCCATCCAGGCCTACCCAGGATGGGTTTTTCTGGCCATATCTTGGCCCAAGGGCCAAGAATCTGTATGAAAAACATCACCACCACCCCATTCTTTGTCCCTTGACCCTGCCTTTGGGGGCCTCCCTTTGGCCCCCCCCCAAGGGCCCAAAGGCTCATGAGGTCCTTATCCCTTAGATTCCTCTCTCCTGAGGCTCAGGACCCAAGCCAAGCTAAGGAAAGGTTCCAGGATGATTGCAATTCCAAGCCATAAGCCTTTCCCACTTAGGTCACACAGGCTCTTTCTCCTCAGAGACCTCAGGTAACAGAAGCAGCCCCATCACTGCTGGAACTGCTGGGGGGACACTCAGCATTCTTCTCCTGGCTATCATCCTGCTGTTTTTCTACCGGTGCTGGAGGAAATCAGGTTTGTGTCCTTCTGTAACCTTTGCTAGAGTTGCTGCCTTGTCCCTGCCTCAGCTTATAACCACCATTCATTCCTTACCTCACCACCCCGAAGCACACACACCCACGTCCCTTCTGTCTAGGGTGATTTCCCAAACAGACAATCAGTAAGATCTTCTTATACCTACTCTAGTTTATTAGGTTTCAAGTGAAAAATAGGGATAAGGGAATTTTTAATGCAAAATTTCAAAAACTTTATAAACGGTGTTTCTGGGCAGTGTCTTTGATTCATACATACTAGCCAGCTAAATCCTTCAGTCCATTCTAAACCTACCATAAATGGATATTAAAAAAAAAAAAAAACTGAACAACTCTAAAGAAATGACTAAAAATGGGAGCTGGCTAGGAAGCTTGACTTCCCTGGGCCTGAACCTGCCATCTGACGTTCTAGTTGCCCCATTCTCCACTCGTCAGCCTTCCTACCCCCAGACGGGATCTCTCCCAGGCACATATTTGCAGTGTGCTTCCAAAGGCTTCCTGTCCAACACTATGTCAGGCTAGTTTCAGGTGCCAGAAAACCTGGTATAGAAGACAGGCACAGAAACTTTTTTCAGCTCTAGAACATTCCCTGCATTCTTCAACTCTATCACGTAATTCAATTCAGTTAAATTCAGCTCTCCAGGTCCTTGTAAATACTTCTGTGACTCCTATATTCAGTTCAATCTCCAAACCACAAGTCTCCTTAGTAAGTTTGAGTTGGAACTTGAGGTTCCTCTGGGGATAGCCACAAATGTTCTTCAAAGTCCACCCACAGCTCACTACTCTGCAAGAGTGATGATTTTGGTATATTTAATATTTATTTATTTCCTGAGATTATCAACATAGCCTCTAGCTGTGATATTGTCAAACAATTGCACAATTAACTCATAAATGTGTAGTACTGTGCCCAGAAAGTTATATGCTTTATTAAATTGTTTTTAAATCCCTTTTCACAACATTTTCATGGGCCAATGTTTGAGTAAACTTTCTGGATAACCTGCCTTTGGGTACTTCTCATGTGAAGTCTTTGAGAAAGAGCTCCCTCTGGTGACATGAATGTACCTTTGCTTTATTTTGCAGGAGATTGTTTGCAGGAAAGAGAAGCTGGGTAAGACCTCAGATTCTGCAAGTGCTTTTTTGTTTCCCAAGTACACAATATGCAAAACTGTGGGGTTGCAAAATTAGGACAAGTTATTTTTCTTTGATTTTCTGGCTAGATGTTTCCATTTTCATGTTCCTTGAGTAGGCTAGAATAAGGCTTCCTAGAACCATTTTTGTCAACTTATGTGTTACACATTTTGCATGTATTTAGATTGGTATCTTACTTGAAATCAATCCAGTCATATGAATGGATGACACAAAAGGCTATTTGTTTTCTTGGGTTGTCACAGAATATTTCTGATACAAAGAGTCCTATGGTTAGACAATGTGTTAATATTTACAGCTATATAAGTATATGTAGAGAATTCAGCAGTAAATAGGGGACTGGAAGTTCTGAATGGTTTAATTGGAGATTCAGTAAGTCTGCATGAAGTCAGATTGTTCTTTTGAAGAAATATGGGGAGTGTGGTATGGCAAACTGCTGACTTCTCTATGGCTATCTCACTCTCCTGCATGTTAGGATGCCCCAGGGATTATCATGTGTTTTTATGTCTCACAGGAGCCCTCCTTCCCCTGACCCTGGAGAGTCTTCTCATTCCATCCGCCCTGCCCAGGTGGAGCTGCAGCTCTTGTGTGGTAATGGTGAGGATTTCTCCATAAGAAGCTGTTCCTGGCTTTAGCCAGGGAACGATAATGTGCTTTTAGCCCTGGGAAAGGCCCTTATGGCACTCTAAACTTAGATATTCTCAATAAATAATTGCTCCATTGAGTGAAGATAATACTTGGGAAGAGGTATATGCAGCACATAACACTGACAGGACATTCTAAAAATTTTGTCTTTTCTTTCCAGTGCAACGCAAAGAGGAAGACTTGGTATATTCTGATATTCAGACTATTCAGTCAGGAGAAGGTATGTCTCTGGGAAGAGATTCAATTTCTTTTTTAATTTATTCAGCAGGTGTTTGAGTATCTGTTATGAGTTAAGTACTATTGTAGGTATGATGAGTCAATTGGTGAACTAGATAGACAAAAATTCCTATAGTATGCAGTTTAGACCACAAACAGAGAAGAGAGAGGGAGAGAGAGAGAGAGAGAGAGAGAGAGAGAGAGAGAGAGAGAGAGAGAGATTGAGTTGAGTGCTGGACCACGTGAATTTTACATTATCATACTCTGTAATTTTGGATTTAGGATTTTGTTCTGGAACAAGTTATTTGGTATGTGCTGAATCCTTTCAAGGCTTGCTTTTAAGTTTTGTTATAGCAGGTCACAAACAACCATTAGAGCAGGGCTAATTTAATCTTAATGTTAAAGCAATGAATCTTTAGGGATTCAATATCAGATGTTCCATGTATTGCAAGATCTGCAGGAGCTTCAGGTATTAGTCTGCCCGTTTCTTTCTGATGGTTCTTACCTAGTATAAGGTAGCTTCCTTTCACACATGTACATATAGTTTTACACCAAAGCCATGAGGACGCATACATCTCTGGAGCTCTCTGGGGATTTCAGTCTGGATTACTGCTCTTTCTGGTACTCTTCACTGTCAAATCTAGCTGCTTGTGTATAAAAGAACTATAGGCTCTGTCACTTCAAGTCTGCAAGAGCCAGGCTGTGTTTGGGTTTTCTAATCTGTGCTCCACCTTGGAAACTGTCTCCAAGTGGCAAGCTGTTGCAACTTCAGGGTTCAGCTGTCTACTTGCTTTCCCTATGGCTCCCAGTCTTCTACTGCATGTTGTTCAATGCCTGAAATCATTGTTTTATCCTTTTTTCCTGTTGTTTTAAATATAAAGGCAAATCTAGTCTCTGTTACTTCTTTTTGGCAAGAATGAACAGTCCTACTTCATTTTCTTGAATCTTACCTAGAATCCATTTCAAGACCCACTAATAAATGAAGATCTGCTGTTAGAAAGATAGTACTGAGTTCAAACCACAGAAAAAAAGCAAGAGAGGAGAGAAAGAAGGGAAGGGAGGGGAGGGGAGGAAAGAAAGAAAGAAAGAAAGAAAGAAAGAAAGAAAGAAAGAAAGAAAGAAAGAAAGAAAGAAAGAAAGAAGTGAAAGAAGAGAGGGAAGGGCAGGGAAGGAAGAAGAGAGGCGGGGGAGACACTACTGTAGGAAACTGGAGCCTGCAGTCCACCTTGGCTTTCTCAGATATGCGATGTTTATTTACTAATATCAGGAAAATCATTCAATGATTTCTAAGAGGAACACTGAGGGTTCCCTCACCAGGCTGAAGGTGTGTGTGTGTGTGTGTGTGTGTACACACACACACACACCCCTGACAGAACCTCTGGATGGATACTCATTGCATAGAAACTGATCTTTCCTTCTAAAGAAATCTATTCAAAAACATTTTTTTAACTCTCAATGCTTCCTTGATTTGATTGATTAACCCAGGCTCTTGGAGTCAAGGAAACAAACAGTTCCATTTAAAAAAAAAATCTAAATATGGGAATTTTAAATCTCTAGTATCTTTATGTCTAGTGGGAATTTCACATATAACCTAATGCTGAATCTGTTTTACAAATGAAGTGCGTAAGACTCAAAGAGATTAAGCATTTTCCAAAGGTCACAAGACCAGACCAAGTCTTCTGTCATGGCATATTATTTGCTGCTTGCCCAGCCTACCCCTACATTTGACTGACATGTGTCACCTAGACCTGCCTTGTCTCACAGAGCCACACCCTTTAATCTGGACATTTTGAACAGCAGAATTAGAGTGGCCATCAGTTTGCGTGGGTTGATTGAGTACATTTTATTTTGTAGCGCTACCTTGATCATTTTGCAATTTTTTACACTGTTCTGGATTTATTTGCCAAAACACCATTTCTGTTGAAAGACTACTTATATCTCAGGCACTTGATGCATTAATGATTGTAGAAAATCTTCACCTGTTCCTGCAGGTTTGCATAAAGTTCCTGAAATCATAAATGAAATTCCCTGCATATACCTATTATTCTGGGGACAGACTGAATAGCTTCCATAATGTCACTGAAAATATCTGTAATCCTAAGAGGTGTATGAAAAGAATATGGCACAACAGAAACTTTGAGTGCTCTAAAGTATATCTTCTTTTCAGGCCCTATCTCTTCATGAAATTACTGTGGTGCTTTAATAATCATATCTTTTTTCTGAGATTCTTAATTTCTAATATGCATGGTCCAACAAATCATACCTGATAAAATTTACTTTCTCTGTGGTTCCACCTTTATGAAACTAGAGAATGCTATGGTAGGAGAAAGTTTGCCTCACAGGGCATACCTATGGAGAACTCTATGGGAAATTTCCAAGTCAAGAGGCATAGCGAGATAGATGTACCATAAGACAAGTAAAATTGAACTAAGAGAAAAATAATCTCTTAACATCTGGTCGAAGAAGAAGTAAATTTTCTTAGTGTAGTATTGAGGGAGGACTTCACAGATCAATGGAGCTTGAGAAGAACTTGCAGAGTGTTGGGCTAAGAAATTATAAAATCAAATGTTTTGTAGGATATGTTGAGAGTTGGGGTGGGGGGAGACATGGCTATCAGCTTTGAGGGCTCAGTGACTCTAGACTCTGGAAAACAAACCAGCAGAGCAGGCTTTAAATGAATCCTCATGGCCATGATTCAGTGTTTCCCTTTCCCTCCACAGCCAACACCTCTGGGATCCTGCCAAAGCACAAGGTGAGCTTCATTCCCCCATTGTTTTCCCTCCTACCAGTACCTACAGCCTTGTACTCTCTCTTTCCAGCTCTTCTTCTCTCTTCTCTCCATCCCAGCATGCCTCAATCATCTACTCTGAGGTGAAGACACAGCCCCCAGATAACTCAGAGGGAAAGTTCAGCTCCAAGGATGAAGACACCATGGAATATTGTAAAAATGTTCTTATTTGACTTGGTCCTGATTCAAAGCACCAGGCCCAGTGTGGTCCTCAAGGCCCCTGGAGTGACCAACAGATCCAGCTTTACAATCCTTATACCTCATGTGCACTCACTTCCAGGACTTTAAAGACAAAGGAATTTTTATGGGCATTGAAAAAAAATATACTAAGTGTTTTACAAAGTCATTAGGAGAGCTGTAGAAGCAGGCTCTGCACTGAACTTCCCAAGTTAACATTATTTTAACTTTAGAGAAAAGAGATAAAAATAAATTTAAAGTAACTTTGCACACCCAAATTTAAGTTGGAAATATCTATGAAGTCATAGCAAACTCTGCCTTTAAAAATATGCATTTAGGTTTGTCCACAAAAAAGACCTAGAAATAATTACCAACAGCAATGATCACCCCTTCCACAGATAGTAGTCTATAAATACCGTTTCCTACTCAAGGAACTAAGGCTGCCTTTCTTGTAGGAGTTGTGTATTTGAGTTACCAAATAGTTGATGTAAGCATATTTTTTTCTAATAAATGAAGAAAGAATGAAAGAAATAGGAAACCACTATTTGTATAGGTGTTTCTGGTTGAACAGTATGTGCCTCTTGTCAGAATACTACAAAGTATCCATGTTCTAAATATCAAAATTGAATGTAATCAAGTCTTGAGATCTAATTACTAGTTTATAGGAAATACATGGGGTAAAAGAACAAGATAAAATAGCATCATAGGACTGCAATCAGAAAAATGCAAACTAGAAAAATTCTATTGAACAAATGACCTAGTTTCTTCAACAAATAAATAGGGACGGAAGGAAGGCATGAAGGAAAGAGGGAAGAAGGGAGGGAGGAAGGGAAGGAGGGAGGGAAAAAGAGAGGAATAGATAGAGTGACATGAAGGAAGATAAAAGCAAAGGAGAGAAGAGCAAAACAAAAGAAAAAGAAGAGGGAAGGAAGACAACAATTAAATGAGACATGAGACATAAGACATACTAGCCAAAAAGTATGAGTGGACCTTATTTGGAGCCTGACTCAAACAAATTCAGTTAAGAAAAAAAATTGCTATGAAATACTAAAGGAAATATATATATATATATATATATATATATATATACTGATATTGAGAATTATTGTATTTTAGATATAAATGATAGTACTATGGTTATGTTTTATATGTATAATACTTCATACTGAAGCATTAAATTAAAGATATTAACATGGAGTAAATGTATATTAAAATAGTGGATTAAATTAAGTTAAATGGCAGATTTGTCTTGAAGTAATATGATGAGGTCAGGATGGGTAGGAAGTATGCACTATTTCTGAAGCTGGATGATGGTACACTGTGGGAGAAAGGGGTCTGATACTATTCTCTACTTTTGTATGTTTTTGACTTTTTACAATAAAGAGATGCTCTACACCCAAACTACCACCATGTTTGTCATATCCAGGTTGTCACCCATGCCTGAGGCACAGCTCAATTATTATTATAGCAGTGTTTTTTTCCCTTCTTTGTCCCTATCCTCACCAATAAAAGCCACAGTCCTTGAGAGTCCGCAAGGCTCTACCCCATTGATGTCCCCATGGCTCTCTGACCTCCTCTCCTACTACTTTCCCTTCATTCACCATTTTGCTGCAGACACTACCTTCTTGCTGCTTCTTGCACACAAATGTCCTCTGAGACCTTGGCACTAGCTGCTCCCTTTGCTTAGAACACTTTTCAGTGACTGCCATGACCTAATTCTAGCCAAGCTTTCTCAACCAAAAAAAAAAAAAAAAGGTAGTTGTCTGATGAGGATATAGGGTCTTTCAGCTGTGATTCAACTATCAAGGATTGCTACAGACTTTATACAACATCCTAATTAGCCACACCACTCTGGGGCCTTTGGATGTGTTAGATTATAAAAGAAAAGACAGAGCACATTGTAACCTAGAGAAGCTAAAGACTCCTTGATGGCTCAAGGGTTCATTCAATGATCTAAAGTAATTGAGTCAGAGCAAAGCAATGTGAGGCATAGGGCTTCTGATTCCAGAGGCTTATCAAATGTCAGACTTCTTTCTTAATAGAATGTACAGCAACTTGTCTTTCTTTGAAAGCGCTATCTCAACATGTTGTAGAAGGTTGATTACACAGTGAAACCCAGGAGAGGAAGGATTAAAAGCCAATATATTTATATTAATTAAATAATTTATTAATTTATCTCAGAAAAACCCAGATAGTTTGCTGAGTTTAGCAGATGAGGGATAGAGGACTATAATTCTGTTTAGGGCTAACTGAATTGATATAGTTGTACTTGGAGAAGATTTTGGATTTTGCTACTAGCTCAGGTACCTGGAAGAAATGGTAATTAGTTGCTGTCTAGTTGGATCAAAACTGTACTCAATGGTGGCCTGGGGAGAAATGAAATTCAGATATCAATTCCTTGATATAATGTAGAGAAAGAATTCAAAGATTGATAGAGATGAGATTATTGAAGTGGATTTCATATATATGACCCATTCACATACACTCTAACTCTGTTTCCTAAGAGGGCACTCCTTCCTAAACAGCACTGAAGAATATATTAATGCTAAAATTACCAGGATCTTTGAAAAGCATAAGAGAAACAGGTCAGGCAAAAAAATGAAGATGCTGCTGCTGAAATGGACTAGGGAGTGGCTACCATAATAGGAAGCAAGACCAAGGTGGTAATCAGAATATCACAACTGAGAAGGACTTTGGATCATGAGTCCAACATAGATGAGCAGGTCAAAGACATATAAATGAAAACAAACTCAAATTCTGATCAAACAGATTCATGGCCACTCCATTTTTTATGTCAGTCAGGGGTTCAGTGTAGGCAACAGAATACACTCTAGCTAATTTATTAAGAAAGGGAATCAATGCAGGGTATGAAAGGAAAGGCTAAAGAGTAAGGCCTCAGGCTGAGCCTCCAGGAATAACTACCAGAAATGAACTGCCAAATGGGACTGGCAAGAGAACAGCCACTGTCACCACAGTTGACTCAAGATCCACAGGGCCTTTCCTGCTACTGAACAGTTCCCAGACCAAAGATACTATAGCCATTACAGCACTACAAAATTAGGCAGACCAAGGCAGCAGTTCAGAGGAAACAAAATACCCACTTCCATTCTCTAGCTTCCATAAAACCCATACAGTCATAATTTCATTACACTCAGGCCACCTCTGAGTCTTGTAGGTGGTCTCTTTAGTGGAAGAGAAGCTACATGAAAGACATTGGCTGTCTGCAGATGTACCTTCTAGTCCTTATTGAACAAGAAGTCACTCTAGAAAGAGGTTGGATTGGTATTAAGAAAGCCATTCTTTAGTATCTACCACAATACTTTAAAAAATGTGTGTGTGTGTACTTTAAGTAATTAGTAAAAGTTGCAAAGTATATCGAAGTAGAATGCAGGGTTTTTTTATTCAAGAGATTTTAGTTCAAGTCCACTGTGTGCTACTTATTAGGTATAAGTTCTTAGATAATTTACTTAAGTTTTCTGTGTTTAATTTCTATCTATGCACAATGAAGATAGTAGCTTCCTTGAATATTTGTTGCGAATAACATTCCTACCTCAAGATGTTTGCACTTGTTCTTCCCTCTGGCTGTAATGCTCTTCCCCTTGGCAGCACTGCTTGCTCCCTCAGTGCCTGTTCAAAGGCTATCTTTTCTACAAGGTTTTTCATTGCCACATGTTTAAATAAGCAACATGCTGCAGTCTCCACCAACCTCTTCCATCCACAATTCTCCAAGCAATTTTCACCCTCTGACATTCTAAAATTTTCTTATTTATTTATCTGATTGTTCCACCTATCATTTATCCTCTATGAGGACTTTTACCTTGTTTTGTTCACTAATGCATCCCCACTGCATCTTTCAGTGACTAACACATGGTAAGCACTTGGTAACATTTGTGGCAATGAGGATTATATAAAGCAGTGAGTGTAAGTGCCTGACGATGTGCCTCTCTCATATAAGCACTCAACCCATGTTAATTATTAGTATTACCCCATTCATATTTTGTAGGTCAACACATATTTATTGTGCACTTAGTGTACTAAGCACAAAAATTGGTAAGAAAAAAGGTCACTCCTTAAGTTTCCAAAATAATAATAGAGATAGACACATAAAGAGATAATTTTCATATAATGTGGAAGTAACATTAGATGTGTACTTAGCCTGTGTATTAAGGAAGACAACATTAATAGTCATAACAGATTACTCCAGAAATCTCAGGAACTCTCCAAAACAAAACACCATCCCTTGTTCCCAGGCTGAAGGGCAAGACTCTGATGCACAGTCATTGAGAAAATCATGCTCCTTACATCCCACAGTGCCACCATCTTCAGGTTCCAAATTCTCTGAAAAAATGTGAGAGAGTATATAAGATGACCCAAGGGGCTTCAAGGGCCAAACCTTGGCATGCATTCATTCTTTCCACATTCCATCAGCCAGAACTCAGTCATAGCATTCTTTAATTCAGGGAATGGGGAAAATGGTTCAAATATTGCTTAGGAGGCATAAGATACAGATCTAGTCAGCATCCTCACCAGTCACTACTACACTCAGTCAAAGGAAATTTTCAGAAGCATTTTTTTTTCTGGAGAAGATAGCACCCAGAGAAAATGTAGACAGGTAGAGCCAGGAAAATCTCAATTTAAATCCAGGTCACAATTGATGGCTATGTGACTTTAGTTATTAAAACTGTCAGACCTACTTTCCAACTGTGAAAAATGGGAATAACTGTAGAATTTAATTAATATGAATTCAGAAACTTGTTGGGAGGATTAAATGTGTGAAATCTTAAGTACAATGCTGGGAACATAGCAAGCAATTAATAAATGTTAATTATCAGAAGGAGGAGGAGAAAGAAGACAGGAGGGAACAAAAAGAAAAGGAAACGGGAAATGGAATTAGAAAGCTAGACATGGAGAAAATGAGCTAGGGAATGCAGAGAAAGGCTTTAGAATGAAATAAAGTGCGGAAGTAAGAGAGAGCAAACCGTGTTCCAGAAATCAT